CTTGTATCTGAGGCAGGAAACATAGCCTTATATGGTGTTTTTGGGGTGGTAATTATGCTAATCTCCTCTCGCGTGCACGAGCAGCTGGATACGATCAGGTGGAATTTACGCAGCACATTTACACACTTTTCCTGAAGATAGAAGAGTTTTTGAATCTGACGTGACATGTTCGTACGAACCCTTRGTACGAACAAAAGTAAGAGAAATTTAGGATAAGAAAATGAACATGTTCTTACATGAGGCCCAATGTCACTTAATTCAACACATTTACACTGCAATTTTTATTCATATTTACATAAATGAAATTATTCAAATTACCTTAGAATTGGTACCACGTGGCTTAAAATCTATTTACTGTTATTAATTGTCACTTTGTTGCCATAATTATTTTGTGTTGACTCTACTTAATATCATGCCTTCTTTTTGCAAAAATGTATTGAAGATCAGTTAACAAATTACCAGATGTTGAAAAACAGCAAACAAACATTTATTTGTGTAACTTTTTTTGCAAACAAATTTTCATTCTTTTAAAAACATTTTTGTATAAAATGTTGAAGAACAAATAAACATAAAAAGTGTGTACATCTGCTACGTCCTGCTGGAGTGTGACATGATTTGTGTAATTTGCAGCTGTGATGGGTTGTGTACAAACTAATACAGTATCAGAATGGTTTGAATATGTATTTCTCATCCAACCACAATTAAATTCACTCTATCCTGGAGGCACAGCTCATTAGGATAATATTTTTTAACAACAAGCCATAATGAAATAGTTGTAACAACTTTATACATATCACCTTTTTTAAAAATAAAATGAGTAGAAAGTACAGATAATTGTGTAAGAATGTAAGGAGTAGAAGTAAAAAGGCAGAAAAATAATTACTCAAGTAAAGTACAGATAGACAAAATTTATATTCAAGTCCAGTAACTAAGTATTTGTACTTAGTTATTTTACAACTCTGGCCATATACATGTATGCTACAGCAATGCAGTATGTTTTTTTATTCTATTTCACCCGTATCAAAGGATGCCAGCCATCCAGCTGAACGCTTAAGTAAAAACATGTGCCGTTGAGCACACATTCAGTCATTCCTTTTTACTTCTTAACGTGATTTTTATAATTGCACACTTTGTGCTAAACCATAAGATCCACAAAGCCTTGTTCTTAAAATTTGTTTCATGTGTTCCACAGACATCAGCAAAACCTTAGAAATTAAAATATCCAAGTGTTCAAACCATGCAACGCAAACATGTCTTTGCTTTCATTTTAAGCATTGATTTACTGAATCCCTAATTGTCTGTGCATACAAAATGATTCAGAAACTGATGGAGTAAAAAAAAGAGATTCTGAAGAAAGACTTGGACACTGCTAACATCACAAAGTATAGTCGCAGCTCTGAATGTGTGTGCACTGAACTTTTAATGTGAGACTATAAAAGTTAACTAGGAGCAAATTAAGCATTCAAGACATTTAAAGTTATTAATGTTAATTATCTTTGCCTGCTCACATATTTCAACCCTGAAATTCACAGGAAGTTTTTAATTGTTTAGCAGTGTCTGCCTTACCTTGTGTGTCCCCGTATGGCTTTGGTGGTTTGGCAGCTTCTGTTTTACTCTTTGTGGACTTAGTGGTGCTCTTGGACGTTGTTGTGCTCACTACAGTGAACGTCCTTTGGGAAAGCCTTGGAGTAGTGCTAGTGGTTGTTGCCACTGCGGTAGATGAGGCCCTGGTGGACAGTGTCACATTGTGTTCAACTTTTCCTTCTTCATAAATACTATCATTCCCCGTGGGGCCCCAGTCAATAAATCCAGCCACCGTGGTAGTCCGGCCCTCCTGAGACTTGTCATGGTCCCATTTGAGCTGCCTCCTGGCCCTAATTAACACTTTCCCACTTGATAAAACCACTGAATCTTCTGCTATTCCAGCCAAGGCATCACCTGTCTCTGTTTGAGAATATTTCAACCGGCACTCCTTGCACACCATTTGTCCTTTAAGCTTTCGATGCTTTTGAATTTTAACTTTTGGCCAAATCCCTGCCCTGCTGTCTTGGGGTGGAGGAACAGGGTTGAGAAGGCGGCGCGCTAACGGGCTTACTGTTCTCCAGTGAAGCTTGTTGGGCATATCCCAGAGAGGCTGCAAGCGAGGCCGGGACCGAGGCACCGATTTAGGCATGAGTTTGATTCCCAGTCCCTGACTGAGAGGGCTGCACAACGAGAAGTCCAGGGTGAGGTGAGTCATGGCCAACAGGATCCACACCCAGTGCCCCACACAGCTGGCTGGCCTCAAAGCAGATGAACTGCAGACAAAAATAAATGCACAAAAATAAAACAATTAGATAAGTTGTTCAAGAGTTAAGCAGTCAAACATTAAATAAGTTTTACACACTCTCCCACCTTTGGGTTATTGACCAATATTAGCATCTCTAGTTGTTGCAAAGATTTATTCAACAACTTACTGACCTCAAACAGTTTCACAAATTGCCTTTTTAATTACAATAGAAAGATCAGTCACAAAGTAAAAGTTGCTGAACATCACAAAGATTCTGTGTTTGCACTTTTCCTTGATGTTACAGATTTATATCAATCCAGGGATGATTACACCAACACGCAAGGTCAGGGATGCATCAGCTGATCATCATATTCTGTATTATCTCCCCCAGACACAAAGTCATCTGATTCACAAAGGGCAATTTGATTATGCAGAGCTATATTTGGGGAAATGTGGTGCTAGAAGACGACACGGCATGACAAGTATACCGTGGAAACTTTGTGCGGTAATTTATTGAATATAAGTGGGCAGTCTTTGTGTAAAAACTTCACTTCTGAAGGCAAGGTGAAAGATGAGCTGTGTATTCAGAGATCCGGCAGTGGCTGTTTTTCAAGACAACCTTCAGTAGCCCCTGGACAAAGCCACTCATTGATTCCTGCGGGAGGAACCTTATTATGGGCTATCTTTAATCTCTGCTGTCCTTGGCCAGTTTAAGTCCACAAGGAAGGCTCATTTTAGGAGCATCACGGAGGTGATGACAGACAAAAAGGTGCAAGCAGGTTCATCAGCACAGCAGCACTATGACTGCTGTTGATTGTATCATTACAAAGCATAGTTGTGCAAGTCTATCATGTGGCTTCATTGCTGATTGTTTTTAATGAGACAACCTGTACCTGTAACAGAAGAGAGAAGATTGTAGATGTTTAGCCTTTGTTATTTTTGTGCAGACATTTAAAATGAAAACAGCAGGATGAGCCATGTTTTTTATCATTCACTGCCTTTCCACTTAGGGATGTGTGAGGGACCAGCAAGCTACTGACTGAGAAATAATTTAGAACGGCATTTTAATTGAGCTGTAAAAGGTGACTGATTTGATCACCAAAAAGCTTTTGACAAGGTTGGTGTACTATTGACAGACAAAAATATGGGTGATAATTTGTCTTGTTAGAGCTTTGGCCCTGACCTCCAACTGGGATTCTGGCATATGTCCAATCTGCAGGCTCAGGATGACTCAGTTTTTACTCCCCGAGCCAAATTAATGAAACAGCCGATGTGGGAAGTGCTTGTTGCATGTCATTATTATTACTTTACAACAGGAAAGATAGAGCTGTAAAGTAGCATGTTTGTTAAACACTTAGCTTTTCACCCTCAGTCCACAAAAAGTAAGAGAGAGAAAATACATACATATATAT